GGGGGGAAGGGGGTAGGGTAACCAGTGCTTCTGAGGTACGAAAAATATATCTACCTCTCCGTGTCTTCGCTCGAATTATTTTTCAATTTTCTGAGACCGGTTGTGTCCAGTGCGATCGGAACTCTTGTAATTTTTTTGGGGGGATTGGGTGCATTTGCTGGGTACAATTTGTAGGAATTATTGAGGTCATTTGGGAAAATGGAGATTTTTTAGGAAATTTGGAGCAGGGGGAGGATTGGATTTTTGGGAGAAATCGAAAATCCAATTCGGAAATTCCGGAATTTTTTATCGTGTTCGAGTTCTACTTAAATTTCAGGAAATCTCGTCATTGAAAAATCAAATATTCCATTGATTTTCTGTTCAAGTGATCTGGAAATCAATAAAGTACTTGATTTTTCAGTTTAATTATTCTGTGGAAATTCAGAAAAATCAGGAAAATTCAGGGGGAAAATTGAAAATTCAAGTCATTCTGTTTCTGAATATTTATGTTCTACTGAAAATTCAATCAAATTGGGAAATTTCTATCTCATTCTCACTGAAAACTCATGAATTGTCGTGAATTCTACTTAAAATTTGGAATTTCATGACCATTTTTTCCCTAAAGCCTGTTCAATGTCACTCTCATGAGATTTACTAGCAATCTATTGCTTTTTTCCTATAAAATATCTTCGTCTGAACATTTCTATTTACAAAAATGCGTAAGAGAGCCCATTCTATCCGGTAATAATATTCACTTTTTCAATAAAGTAATCAATGGGAAGTACTGAAATTACGGCAATAAGTATACTACTTCCCCCCAGTACCATTTCTACTCGATCGGCAGATGTGGTACTTCACCCAAGGACACAAAATGTACTTGGGACGAGTATTGTTCGAACTTTTCAAAAGTGAACTTCCCCCAAGTGCCGGTTTGTACCGGTGAGAAGTAATTTTTTTTGTGTAAATAAAATAAAATGTAGCATAAATTAAAATAAAACAATAATGTCAATGAATTAATAAAAGAACATATCAATTTTCTGCGCAACTTCTGCTCGGCTTTCGTCGTGACATATTTTCAATCGAATTCCATTCCTCCAACAATCCAATTTCCTACGGCTGCAAAAATCCACCTCTCAATTGTCCCCAACTCCCCGTGATTCTCATAACTATCACTATCCCAATTCGACTCACCCAGAACTTAATGAAGGTAAGTCACGATATTAAATCGCGAGCGTAAATAAACTCCCCCGGGTGAATGTGGGGTAGAACTCACGGGCAAAACTACGGCCAACAGATAGATCTTCCATCGTGCCTTGTTATTACCGTGTAAACGAGGCATCTCTCGAGAGTAGCGGCGCGTCGTGTACCAAAACTAGGTTCCATCGAAGTAGGTAAACTGCAAATACCTCTCACCCCCTCCTATATTCACTTCGATTAGCCATAACTCTTCCTGCTATTTGTTGATACTCACTTCGCCTTGTTCTCCACAGCTGTGTTTAGCATTTTCTCGTAACTCTGATTTTTCATTCATTGGGTATTTTTGCACCTTTGTTTGGAAGCTTTCGTCCCGGAATGGAGGCTCACGGGTTAACTGTTTCACTTGTCGCTGGCGGCATTCGTGTTGTGCGTACGATGTTCGTGACGATTTGTGGGGATTTTATACGGGAATTTCAATGCGCAATTATCGGAGGATAGGTCGTGACGCTAATTGTATTCTGAAGACGGGAATATTTGAAAAATTGTCCCGGGTGAAAACATCATGGACTTTTTTTCCGCAGAAATGTGCCACTCTCACCGATAATCATTGAGAAGTCATCGAGCCAGGCCGCGTGAAAAATTGAGGGATTTTTGGGACGAATGAAATCGTTTTTTACTCATGTCTCTGCGACATACAATTCTCAAAATACTATTATTTTGTTTGAGTAAGTAGATTAAGACCTTCAGTTTCTAAGAGAGCGCGTGCACCGCGGGGCGCTCCTATCCACAAACGTCCACATCCTGAGAACTACGATTCGCAGCGACGTGAGTTGAAAACCATTTTGTTTGCGATGAAATTCCCTACATTTGTCGCACCGGACATCTCGATGACTTCTCAATAGTTTTCGAGATATTTCAATTGACAGTGGGGCATTGTAGCGACAGCGAGAGCACCTTCACTCGAGAGTGCATCCGTAGTACATGTACTCATGACTGAGGGCGTCGTATTCCCTCCATGCGCAGTCGTTGACTGCGCAACTTCCGTTTGGTTTTTCGTGACATGAGATTTATCAGCGATTACTCCACCATTAAATTTCGATAACGAGAGCTGAGACGTTTCCACATTAATAATGATGAAAATGAAGAGAATAAATTCTTAATGATGGTTTTTGGCTAATTAGAAGATAGTAGATTACTTTACTAGGCCGATATAAGCGTTTCCCGATGAATGTGGATTTATAATCCGAGCTATAGGCGAGGATTATAATCACATGAGTTTCGAAGCCCGAAAATCGCATTCTCACCGAACGAAATGAGGTTAAAATCGCTGTTCATCGTCACTTCCTGGAGATTACTCTGTCCCAATATTCCAATAATAAAATTCTGTAGTGAAGTGGTAAAACGAGGTAAGTTAACTAACTCTCCGGTGGGTTTTTCGGAAATATCTCCGAAACTAAGCATAAACTAAATATCTCCGAGATAGCATAATTTTTGTAATGACCTTTTTCGTAGCTCTCAATTAGCTCTACAAAAAATATTTTGACAAAAATTTCGCTACCTCCCTTAATTTCAGAGATATTTCCGAAAAACTCCACGAAAAGGTGAGTTAACTTACCTCGTTTTACCACTTCACTACAGAATTCAAACCGTTGACACATAAAAAAAAAGATGACAAAATCAAGGATAATTCATGGTTTTTCACAATTTTTTTTGAAACGATCAATTATTTCATTTTTCAGTACCCAAGAATATTTATGGATAATTCTTCATCTCCGGACGCGCATACGGTGATATTATGTTTCCAATTTCAAGCATTCGTTATCGCACACCACGAAAAAATTGACCCGGTTGCGTGAGCATGATCTCGAGTTGCTTTCCGAGAATACTGAGGAAAATATTACTGATATCAATGGTTCATGTAAGAGAAGTTTGAGTCATTACACTTGTAGAGTCTTGTTTAATCGCATCTGAAGATGCTGAGATTTCCGACGCTAGAGTTAATTTTCATTGGGTTGACAGTTTTCTGTGAAGGTGAATAAAATTTTGCACTAGCCATTATTAAAAAAAAGTGCGTTAATTAATTAATTGTGTGATCATTCTCGAAATCTGTTGAGAACGAATTTCATATTTCTTTATATTCATTAAAAAATGTGTTTGGATATTAATATTATTTGTTCAAAGTGAAAAAACGATCGTCATTTTCGAAAACGTGAGATAATCTCATAATTCCAACTATTAATTCTAATTTACTTCCATGTTTCATAGAATGGTAGTCAATTCTCTCTTAAATTTCTGTCTCCTTTAAATTCTCTTTTGAATATACTAATTGAAATTTAAAAATAGTAAAATAATTTATAATTTAAATTTCCAATTGATGATGAATTAAATATTTTATAATATCGAACTGTAAATTTTTTATTAAATAAATAATACTTAACTTCTCATGAGGGATTTTTGATTATCCAAATAATCGTCAATCTTCCTAACTAAATTACTGATTGCTAAATAACTCAGAATTGAATATTTAAATTGATGATTACTTTGATAATCGAAATTTAAGAGTGATATTAAAGAAATGGTCCCTTAATAATTTAATGGTAATTATAATTTATGGATATCCGCCATGTTCGAGTTATCATATTTGATTGGAAATATTGCCCATCCGCTTATTTTTTTCTAAAACGACAGGAGGATAATTTTTGCATCCACAGACGTGTTTTTTTACCGAACGATTCGTAAAATATCCTCCTCAAACAGATATTTTTTCATTAATCGTGACTTTTCGGACAATAGAATTTTCCACGATTTTCTCGGTAATTTTTCCTCAACTTTTCTGTCCATGTGCTATTTTCCTTTTCAAAAATTCATATTTTGAAAATTCTTGTGCAGCGAAAATTCTTCCAAAGACGACGGATCCTCCGCCGACAACTCCTGCAAGAGTAGACGCAGCGCCCGGAGAGTTTCCCTACGTCGTATCTCTCCGCAGAAATGGCGTTCATTTTTGTGGAGGTGCAATTATTGGTTCTAAACACGTATTAACCGCTGCCCATTGTTTTGTCGGGAGAGTTGACCCGCCCTACACAGCGGGTTTGACTGTTGCCACTGGTGCTCTGAAGAGACAGGACGATGGTGACCTGTATCTGGCGAAGAAGGTTGTGCCGCACAGTGGGTTCTCAAGGGGACCTGACACCAGATGGAAGCACGATATTGCCGTTATCACCGTGAGTAGTCTAGGCTGATGTGTAAAAAGAGTTCTTGATGTGTGAAATTGTGTGGCAGAATAATTTCTGCGATTTTCCCAGAAAATCCCAGAAATTCCTCATAGGAGTGCCTTTACCGGTCTCGTGATGCAATCCAATGTTTTAATTTTCTAAAAATCATCGTTTCAGAATTTATTCTCTTTATTTGCGAAATTTAATGTGGAGTAATCGCTGAAAAAGCTCATGTCACGAAAAACCGAACGGAAGTTGCGCAGTTGACGAGTGCGCATGGAGGGAATACGATCCACCAATCATGTGACATGAGTAAAAAACCATTTTATTCGTCATAAAAATCCCTCAATTTTTCACGCGGCACGTCTCGACGACTTCTCAATGGTTATCGCAATAATTCGAGTGAGAGTGGCACATTCTCTTTTAAACATTCAAAACTCTTATTTATCTTACTAGGCACGATAAACAGCGATTCTAACCTCATTTCGTTCGGTGAGAATGCGATTTTCGGGCTTCGAAACTCATGTGATTATAATCCTCGCCTTTGGCTCGGATTATAAACCCACATTCCTCGGGAAACGCTTATATCGGCCTAGTAAAGTAATCTACTATCTTTTAATTAGCCAAAAACCATCATTAAGAATTTATTCTCTTCATTTTCATCATTAATAATGTGGAAACGTCTCAGCTCTCGTTATCGAAATTTAATGGTGGAGTAATCGTTAATAAATCTCATGTCACGAAAAACCGAACGGAAGTTGCGCAGTCAACGACTGCGCATGGAGGGAATACGACGCCCTCAGTCATGTGTACATGTACTACGGATGCACTCTTGAGTGAAAGTGCTCTCGCTGTCGCTACAATGCCCCACTGTCAATTGAAATATCTCGAAAACTATTGAGAAGTCATCGAGACGTCCAGTGCGACAAATGTAGGGAATTTCATAACAAACAAAATGGTTTCCAACTCACGTCTCTGTGAATCGTAGTTCTCAGGAAGTAGACGTTTGTGGATAGGAGCGCTCCACTCAAACTCAAGATAACATTTCAAGAATTGCAAATCGTAGAGACATGAGTTAAGAAACCATTCCGCATCCCTTGGCCATAATCGGATATTCAAGAAGACGTAAAATATTCCGTCGTCACGTATTTCGTTAGATCATTCCGGTTTGTTCATTTCAGTTGATGAATCCAATCATAATGACCCAAAATGTCAAGACACTAGGACTCCCAACGAGTCCAACCCCCGGCGCAGTAGTTGCTGTCCTCAGCGGGTGGGGATCTGCCACCAAATTCGGACCGGAAGCCGATCACCTCCAAAAGAGAAATGTCACAGTTCTGACCAACGACGAGTGCAACAAGAAGGACGCGAGCATTTTGGATACTCAGATGTGTGGGTTTGATGGAAGAGGAACAGGATTTTGCAACGTAAATTTAATAATATATCCACACCTTTATACAGACAAGCGTGAGAATATAATTCGTCAAAAACACCGCATAAATCCAAAACTCTAATCATCACAGATTATTTAGTTCAGTAAATAATCTGAATCAACAGAAAAATTACCTGTGAAAACGTAAAAGCGATTTGAAATGTACGTTCGGGAGTTTTTTTACCTAAAAACTCGAAAAAAATCTAAAGAGAAAAATAAATTTTCCCTGTTGAGTTCTGGAAACGTTGTGGCCCGAAACCAAATTTTTAGGTGTTGCAATTTAATTTTTTTAATTTTTGCGCCCTTTCTCTGCAAATTTTTTCTTCGTGTAAATTTCAATAGAAAAATAAATAAAATTGTCAACAAGGACAATTTTTCACAGGATAGGTCTCATGACAAATTCTGTTGAAGCTGTCTATCTCAAACAAAATAGTAGAATAATGTGAATACTCCGCAAAAAACTCACCTCTTACCATCAAATAACTAATTTAATTCCTCATTATATTTCAGGGAGACAGTGGTAGTCCATTAGTCTACAATAACGAAGTCGTAGGGATAGTTTCCTTCGCCATTTCCTGCGGAATTGGCTATCCAGACACCTACACTCGAGTCCACAAGTACCTAGACTTCATCAAAGAAAATTCTAATTGAAAAAAAAACTCATAGAAGACCCAAACGATTTACTTCAGATGAACGTTACTCTTTGACTTCGAAGATATGAAGAAGTCATCTTTATGTGCCATGAATTGTTTTCATGTGATAATAAAAAGAGAATCCTTTTCATGTTTATAATTGGCGTGTGTCATTCCTCACATTAAACCGATGCTTCCTACAATAATCCACTAAACAATTTCTAAACTGAGAAAAAATATAATTCCGCCAATCAAATTTGTTTCAGCCAAGAATTTGTAGGAAAATTTTGTACGAAAATTTTGGACATTTGTTTGTCTGGAAGAAATTTGAGTGGCAGAATTATATATGAATGAATGAATAATAAAAATTCTGGGATAGCAGTGGCAGTTCTCTTGCCCCTGGCAACAACTAATCGCTATCGCCTCCTGTGGAGTCACTTGCCCGCATGTCTACACGAGTTCACTTCTTCCTGGATTGGATCTCAGCCGCCCTTGATTGATGCCCGAAATTACTTCCGCAAATTATCCAAACGAAAATAAATGTATCTTGAAAAAGCAGCCCGCATTGATTTTTTCGGGTGCCACACACCACCTGTTATCTCGCCTCTCAGCCGCTCTCATTCATTCCACGGACCGGGGATGTCTGATAGCACATGACATGTGCGGAAATGCATTTTCGAATTGGGTCATGGGTGATGAATATAAGAGTCTGATGCTGGGCCTTTTCCACAGTTCGACCGGTTCTCGAAGAAATGGCGGAAGTTTTTGGCAAATTTTTCCTTGCCGCCGTGCTGCTGTCTTCAGCAACAGCAGGTAGGAGTTATAATCCTCTCACCAATATTTGTTGTCATCAATGTAGAAAGCCAAGTGTCTAAAATGAACACTCCCTTTTTTTATTTTAAGACGTTTGTGTCCCCCAATTTAAGTCACTTATAGTGTCAAATTAGGCATGATTTATAGACATTTTATGTGTCTTAATCTAGAGTCTTTTGTGTCAAACTTATGATGTCTTATTCGTTTGGGTCTAGAAAAATGTCTTGAAGTCTTGATGTTTCTTTTTTTTAAATTTCCGTTTGACTTCAATAACGTTTTCATTTTTGTTTTTTTTTTAATTTTTTTTCTCCTGTTTCACCTTCTCCCTCTCTGGCTTTCTGAATGAATTGACTAATCCTTTGAATTTTATGACGGAACTAGGGGGCTACGCCTCATGCTCGCTATGCTTGCCAACCCCATATGACCCTCACGACCCTTGTTTGGACGCTTATGACCCTTCAACTGACCCTTGTGACCTTTTATCGGGCCTTCGCGACCTTTAATCTGACCCTCATAACTCTTGTGACTGTTATTTTGACCCCTGTGAATCTTAGTTACTGACCCTCCATTTCTGACCTTCGTGATCCTTAATCTAACCCTTGTGACCCTTATTTGGATTCTTAATGTGGCCCTTATTTTGACCCTGGTGACATTTAGTTTCCTACTCTTTGTTTTTGACTCCCATATCCTTAAACCGAACCCTAGTGGCCCTTATCTGAACCCTTATTCGGTCTCTTGTAACCCTTATTTTGACCCTTGTATATTCCGACCCTTACGAACCTTTATTCCGGCCCTTATGAACCTTAATCTGATCCATATGAACCGTAATCCAACCCATATGACTTGTAATTTGACCCTTGTGAGCCTTAATCTGATACACCTAACCTTTATGTTGACCCTCGTGGCCCTTAATCTAACCCTTATAAGTTATTGATAACCTATTTCCTTATAACTTATTCTGGTACTGAAAATCAAAACTTCAAAATTAAGGATCACAAGGGACAAAATAAAGGTCACGAGGATCAAAATAATTATAACTTATTGTGGCCCTTAATCTGGCCCTTATAACTTCTAATTTGTAATGGTCAGATTAAGGGCCACGATAAGTTATAATCCTTATTTTGACCCTCGTGACCCTCGTGTTGTCCCTTGTGACCCTTAATTTTGGAGTCTCAATTTTCAGTATAAAATTTTCTTCACCAGAAACGGATTTGCATTTTTGTAATATAGATGGATAATAGCAAAGAATAAGACGGGGTTGAAATGTTTATTATTTGAAATGTCTATACTACTTCAGGACGTCTTCAAGACACTACTTTTTACAGTGCATTCATTGTTATCGTCATCATCTTCGGCAGGTAATGAACGTCAGGAAAGAATCCTCGGAGGTAGTACCGCGTCCCCCGGTGCTGTCCCATACACCGTCTCCCTAGTCCTCAAAGGCTATCATCATGTGTGCGGTGGTACCATCATCACCAACCGGCACATCCTCACTGCGGCCCATTGCTTCGTCGGAATGAGCAAGCCTCCCTACACCAAGGGATTGACAGTACTCACTGGCGCAGTTGATAGAACTCGTGATGGGGAGCATCATCCTGTATTGAAAGTAACGCCTCACGGAGAATTCAAATTTGGGCGCAAGGCCAGATGGCGCAATGACATTGCTGTTGTTACTGTGAGTCGATCCAGCATTTCTATGAACATTCCCAATACGACGTTAATGACTTGCGTCGAGAGTCATTAGTTTGATAATTATAGAACTATTTCGCTAATGATGAAGTCCTGAAGGCGTTGATGTACTTCATAAGATGCTTCATCAGATGCTTTTAGAGACAGAATTGATCATCAATTCATTGAGACGTTGTTTGTGTGTTCTGCTGGCTTGTCTACAGCTAGCGGATGCGATAAAACCCTCGAAACTTCAATCGCCAATCGCGTTGCCAACATCTCGCACTCCCGGAAACGTTATTGGTAAATCATCAGGCTGGGGATTCCCCGGAATGAATGCTCACATAATGGATATGCTGCAATACAGGATGGTCAAGATACTCAGTAATGAGCAATGTATCGCTCTGAATAGTGACATCAGTGAGAAGCAACTTTGTGGATTCAACGGGCATGGCACAGGTTTTTGCGAGGTAGTATTTTTCTCAACTATTTTGCTAAAAATCTTGTTTTCCTGGGGTCAGAAGGATGTTGCTGTGCATCGCATCGTTTATTCGATATCGTTAAATATCGGAACAATTATTGAATAACTAAATCATTGAATAATTAAAAAAAATTCAAACAGAATTAGAATTTAGAAAGGAAAAATTCCACTCCGCCCAGCCGGGATTCGACCTCGGATCTTCCAGTTACGCGTCGAGTACTCTCCCAACTAAGCTACCGGGAACTACGGAAATTCTCCCTCCAAATTCGTCTCACAACACCGTCTAACCACCTTTAGGCATTAAATAAATTCAAAGAGAATTAGAATTTAGAGAGAAAAAATTCCACTCCGCCCAGCCGGGATTCGAACCCGGATCTCCCAATTACGCGCCGGGAACTCTCCCAACTAAGCTACCGGGAACTACGGAAATCCTCCCTCCAAATTCGCCTCACAATACCGTCTAACCACCTTTAGGCATTAAATAAATTCAAAGAGAATTAGAATTTAGAGGGAAAAAATCCCACTCCGCCCAGCCGGGATTCGAACCCGGATCTCCCAGTTACGCACCTGGCACTCTCCCAACTAAGCTACCCGGAACAACGGAACTTCTCCCTCCAAATTCGTCTCACAACACCGCCTAACCACCTTTAGGCACTAAATAAATTCAAAGAGAATTAGAATTTAGAGAAAAAATTGCACACCGCCCAGCCGGGATTCGAATCCGGATCTCCCAATTACGCGCCGGGAACTCTCCCAACTAAGCTACCGGGAACTACGGAAATGTTATTATTTCATCCTTGCCTTCAGGGAGACAGTGGCGGTCCTCTTGTTTACAACAACACAGTAGTCGGCATCGTGTCCTTCTCCGTAGCCTGCGGCATGGGAGCACCTGACGTCTACACTCGAGTCGACAGCTACCTAGACTTCATAAAAAGTGTTACATCATCCAAAAATTAGTAACTCAATTATCTTAGCTATCCCTCATCTTATCGATATGATCATCGATTGTTGGACTGCAGTGATTCAAAATAAACATAACCTTCAAAATTATCCGGAGTCTATTTTTCACCCTCTCAGAAACATGAATATTCGTATCTGCGGTAGGAAATCAATTTCAGTTACAGTAACACTTGTCCGAAAAGTTTTTCCCGCCCTAGTAGATCTCTAGTAGATCCAATCTCGCGGTCGACTCGCTGCGGATTTGTCGAGCGAGATTACACATTACGGCGATAGTCGCTCTAAAAAACGCAGCGGACTCGCCTCATTTCCTCATTGTTCTTGCGGATTAAATCCCCCGCAAAAATAGTAATTTCCTCACCCCCAATTCCCGCCACGCACTTCCCCCTTAAAATTCCCATCAAGGGCCTTCGACCGCTCGTTCATACTCCTCCCGTAACGAGGATCGTGATCGCCTGTCTGTCCATCCTCTCGCGACGTTCCATGAAAAGAAGCAAGAGCATCATAAAGACACTCCCCAAGAGTGAGTGAGAGCCCTAAAATTATTGAAGAATAAAAGACCTCGAACGATAAAAAAAAGTAAAAAATAAACGAGGTAGTGGACCACGTTGGGGTCGTGACCTGTAGCCCGAAGGCCCGAGCACGGTGAAAGGCCCAGCGGCAATTCCTGTGTTAGGGCCCCAAGGAGTCCCCCTCCCCCCCTCCACGAGAATCGCATCAGGCACACCCGCGCCGATGCTGAAGCGAGACAGATACGTAGAGAGAGAAATGCCTCGAGCGCCATTACAGGGCACTCACAAAGTGGCAATCGCGTGGAGGCATGCGCACAACGAGTGGGGATAAGGATTATTGCGCAAGGCCCAAGTGGGGCCCACCCTTGGGCCCTCCCTGGTGCACCTCGTGGCTGAGAATGCCCAATGGGCAAACTCTGGACGTTTGTTTCTGATCTGTGAGCGCGCGCATCCCTCAAGCTGCATCGAGGGGTCCGTCTGGGCCTCAGGTCTGGGCCCTATCTCTTTCTCAAGCCCGCGGTCTGTTTTTCTCCCTCTCTGCCACTGTAGCCCTCCCCCCTCGCCACCCGCTTGGCAGAGCGTGCTTGCCCTTCCGCGAGTGTATGACCGTGGGCTATTGCAATATGGACACCGGCGTTATAGGGCCCCGGCGCTACATTCTACGTAGCTGATCAAAACGATAATTGGACAGATTACCCAGAACTTCTCTCTCTTTCTCTCTTTATTGTTCTTTTACGTTTTGTCGGATCACCATCACGTTGTAGTCATGTACAATGTTATTGTATTATATCGCGTGAAATATATCAATGATCATCGACAACAAAGAACAATTCGCTTATCTTGACAGATTTTTCCACGGTTTGTGGGCCCAATGGGGGTTACAGCTTCTGGTATTCAGCTGACTTCGACAATTCGTATGGGAATACGAGGGTAATAACGGCGATTGTTACGCCTTTCTGGTCCCGGGTCGGACGATTTTTGCATGTTTTGAATTTATCAATGGCTACGTCCGGGATATGGGACCCGTCGGTAATGATCGCGAGAGAACACTTCGTCATTATTATCGGTGGCTTGGTAATTGATAATTATCGCGGTTGAGTGCATTAGCAGAGGTAATGTGGAGGATGACAAATGACGGGAATTTTAAAGGTCATGTTCTTCTTTTCTTTTCGAACGCTCGGTGTAAGGCGGTTAACAAAGAGAGCACGCTTTTCATCCGACATTTTGAGTGCATGCATAGAGTCAAAATGGAGGTAAAAAAAGGTAGGAATTTCAAAAGTTATTTTTTCCCTTTCTCTTTGAACACTTGACAGAAAGCCGATATCGAAGAGAGCACATTAGAGAGACTTTTCATTCGACCTTTTGAGTGCATACACAGAAGCAAAATGGAGGATGAAAAAAGGCGGGGATTTCAAAGGTCACGTTTTCTTAGTTCTAAACACTTCACGGAAAAGTGTCAACAAAGGAAGTACGCAAGAGGCGCCATTTTGGGGACACGTGCAGAGGTAAAATGGAGGATTGAAAATGGTGGGAATTTAAAAAGTAATTTGTTTCTCGTTGTCTTTGAATATTTGACGAAAAGCTGTCGGCGAAGAGAGCGCATAAGAGAGACTTTTCATCCGACATTTTGAGTGCATGCGGGTAGACAAAATGGAGGACGAAAAAGGCGGGAATTTCAAAGGTTACGTTTTCTTATCTTTAAACACTTCACGGAAAAGTATCAACAACGAGAGTATGCAAGAGGCTTTTGATGCGCCATTTTGGGATCACCCGCAGAGGTAAAATGGTGGATGAAAATGGCAGGAATTTCAAATGTAATTTTTTGTATTTCTGTTTAAATACTTGACGGAAAGCCGGCAGCGAAGAGAGCACATGAGACTTTTCATTCGCCATTTTGGGTGCATGCCCAAGGTCAAAATGGAGGATGAAAAAAGGCGGGAATTTGAAAAGTCCTGTTTTGATTGCTGAATTAGACCCCAGCGTTAAAACGAAGGACGATAAATGACTAAAATTTCTACGACTTGTATTTTCCACTTGACAAAACTGTCAACAAAGAGAGCACACGAGCGAGATTTTTTACGCGACATCTGTCAGCATAATTTACTACCGAATCAGTACCTAGGGGCCACTGGCGATTACCTCCCTGCAGGCCTGTACTGCCTCCTCAGGCAGAGTTTCGTGCGCAATCGCGAAAAGCGGAACGAGATCCAGGCAGGCGATGCCCGGAACGGGTGGTAGGTGCACGGGGCCTAGTGGCAAAAGACTGAGAGAGACTGATTGAAACGACGAGGGGGCTGAGAGAGATGGGACGAGGTGGGACGCCTCGGGAGAGATACCTCAACGAAGCCAATCGCCGATGAGACCCCGCGGGCTCTGTGGGAAAATGATCTTGGAACGAAAGAAGGCTAGGCGCAGTGGTAAAAAGCGTAAAACTGGCGATTAACCGGCGGCTTCGCGCGCATGCCCTTGCTTCTGCTGTATGGCCTAAGCGGCATCGCGCGAGAGTTTACTATTTCTTTTATCTCTATTTTCCTTTTTCTCTCATTCTTCTATCCTTGGATTCGTGATTCGACGCTGGATATACCACTGTTTTCAACTGCCCCACAGTGTGATGTCTACTTGCAACATTCAGCGGAGAGGAGGGGGGGGG